GAGGGACTGGTAATGTTAAAGGCAGGTAATGTTAAGGCAGGGGTGGATGGCTTCAAACTGAGAGTTTAGATTAGATATTAGGTAGAAATTAGTCACTGTGAGTGTGGTGAGGCACTGGAACAGGTTGCTTAGAGAAGCTGGGATGCCCTATCCATGATAGTGTTCAAAGCCAGGCTGGATGGGGCTTTGAGCAACCTGGTCTAGTGAAAGGCGTCCCTGTCAATGGCAGGTGGTTGGAACTAGATTATTTTTAAGGTACCTTCCAACTCAAACCATTCTATGAGTCTGTGATTCAAAAGGTGTTGTCTTTTTCAGGTCCAAGTGTTAAACATTTAACAAGTTAACAAGTTGATAGCAGCAGATCTATATAGTTATATTTTGGAACCCAGTATGACACTAAATATGGAAAATGCTTATGCACAATGAAAACAAGGACAAAAGATGTTTTGACAACTCCTAATTCTGTGCAAAACTGAAGAGACCACAGTGATCCATCTTTTAATGTTAGACCTCATTATTTTATTTACAGACAATAAATGATTGCATTTGGGCTTGAACACTTACACTTGCCACCTGTAAGCTGCACGGACACAGAAAGGCAGATAGCAACATATGGAAAGGCTAGAAGTGAACATTAACCTTCTCTGAATTTAAACTCACCAGCCTCTGCAGCTGACACTAGGTGTTCGGTTGCACTGAGACTTTCCATCTTTCCTTCCTTCTTGTAAGCTTTGATGGCATTGTAACTGGAAAATGTAAAATATAATTTGGTAAAGGAGAAAACACATCTACATCATAAAAAAAACAACCCCAAAAGAACAAAATGCTTCTCTCAAGATCATGGTGGCACACAGCCTTTGAAAAAAAGATACCTAAACTATTTTTGTTTAGTTGATTAGTTGATCTCTGAGCACTTAGCTCTTTAAAGTGAACTATGGTAATACATATTTAAATCGTATTATTAAACTGTCAGTATCAATGGGACTGCACCTTGAAACAGCTATCAGATCTCAGGAATTAACTTCTAAAAGAACCAATTAAATAGCCTCCTTTTTATTGAGAGCAACACTGACAAGTAGCTATCTTCTAGCTCTTAAATACACTGAGCTTTCTTCTCTTGTTCTAGTTTGTAGCCTTGTGGATTAAGAAATTGTTAACAGGAGCTGAAGCAAAGCTTAAGGACTAAAGTACAACAATAACAGAGTCTAGACAACTGACAAGTGATGTTTGCATAGTCATACCAGCTAACTATTCCCTAGTATGCTTCAATTAATAAGGTTCAGCAGTAAATCAGGTCACAGTTACAGAGTTAATGAAGTAGAATATTAAAAAATGAGCTTTATAAGCAAATCCCATCAACTGACAAAAACAATGAAAGAACTGTCACTAAAATGATTAAAAAACAGTTAAACATTTAGTTTTAGTAGAAAATCTCATCATGTTCTCTAATTCTTAACACATCAGTTTAAGTTTTTGTTTTTCATGAGGTTTTAAACACAGTGCAGTGGCACTTCTAGAGAATTCTTCATGAATAATATCACCATTCCTCAAGTATTTTCACAGCATCAAGGTGATGCACTGTACCTGACAAAGGAACAAAGTCTCTTAAATTTGAAAACAGCAAACCATAATAAAGGGTAACAGACCTGGACTAACTAAGAGAATCACAAGTTTGTAAGTCACTTAGCACATTTTTACACCCCCCCCAAAGAAGAAGCAGTGTATATCTGAATATTACATTGTGCAGGATATGACACATTTTACAGTTCTACTTACAAGAAAAAGTAAAGTCCCCAGGAAGCCCCTGCTCCCACCATGTTTGGAGTTACTCCCTGATATAAGCCTCGTAGTCCTTCATGCTTCCAGACAGTGGTCATACAGTGGAGAATCCCATTGTATTTTGGCCTCAGCTCCAATCCATCACTCACTATGAAAGAAAGAAATTAAACTGGAAAATATTTCAGGAAACATAAAGTTCAGCTGTGTCAAAGCCACCAGAGAAGTCCATAGCCTCCAAAGCAAGCTGCAAATGAATATGACCTAACTGATCAACTGCATTTTAAAAGTTTTATTTCACAAGCAAGCAAGATTTGGGGTTTACAGCTTCTTAAGTCTAGAGTTAAAGAACTTTAAAAAAAAGGAGGGAAAAAGAAAATAAAAAAAAATAAAGAACTCTATCTCTGTAAGAAGAAATTTCCCATCAATCTGCATTGCTGTGCATTTTTGGTGAGCAGCAGCTTCGACCTTAAGTTTTTTGTGTCTTCTTTTTAGCACCCCTCCAATTCTATTTCAGATGATACGGGTGGGGTCCTTGACAACAAATTTCTAAAAGGAGTCCCAAATAACAATGCTTAAATTCAATTTTCCTCTTTAAAATGCTCTAAAAGGCAGTAAGTCATGTCTTCCTGATGATTCCCAAGTCAGTTTTTATCAGAATACTTAGAGTTTACTTCCATCAAGAATTCCTGTGCTCTTCTATTCTCACTGAATGCATTTGCAGGGAAACACTAGATGCATACACTTCTCCCACCTAATAACCTAACAACGGGTTGTCCAAATATTCAGAAAATATCACTGTCAAAAATAGAAAAAACACACAAGTTTTTGTTTGACAGATTTCATGTAGAACACAGATGTCCACACAACTTACAGTGGTAACTACTATTGTTCCTACCATAACAGCAGGGGGGTAAGCTCGTTACTGGTGATATATGTGGTACGGTGCGTGGTGAGGTGACAAGAGGTAACAGACACAAGCTGTAATATAAGAAATTCTCACCAAAATTTCTTATCCAGCAGAGTGGCCAAATACTTGAACAAGTTGCCTGAAGAACATCTTTGGAGCCACTCAAAAATCCATCAGACAAGACTGCAAGCTGATCTAAGCAGAGCTTATCTGAGTAGGGGGTGAACTCCATAGATCTCTTCTGACCTAAATTACTCTACGATGCCAACATAGCAGCAGTTTTCATTCTTAATATAGACATAAGGCTGGACTGCAATTGTACTGAAAATTAATCTCAAAGTGTTACAATCAATGTAGTTTTTGAGGCCCCATCAAGATTAAATCAGGTAAACAGTCTTCTGTTCAATGACACATTTATTATTCATTTTCCTTGAATTTTGTTTGCAGTCTGTATGTAGTGACAGACTTCACAAAATGCCTTTTGAGCATATTGTGACAAGTCCTCAACACCTTGACAATCACGCAAAACTAGAAAAAAATTAAAAATCTCTTTTCTCCCCCCTGAATAAGCGCTGCTAGACCTTTCTCAAAGACATTTCTGAATTTTTTTTACCAGGTTTATAAACAAATTAAACAATGTGGGAAATCAGAGACATGAACGCAAGTCTGTCAGTCAATGATGCTGCCAAGAATCTTCACAACATTCATTTCTAATATCAGCTCTTACTCCCTGGTTGAAGATAAAACATAGGAATTGTTATTTTCAACCCAAAAAGGCATGTGAAAGTAAGTGACCTCCAAAAGCCACCTAATCCAAACCCATGCTCAAAACAGATCTAATTAGACCTGGTTACTTAGGGACATGACCAGTTGACTCCTGAACATTTCCAAGGCTGAAGAGATTACAGCTTCTCTGGGTAACCTTTTCCAGTATCTGACCACTCTCACAGTAAAATAAATAAGTGTAATTTTCCACATTCATGCTTGTGTCCGTTCCTTCTTGCCCTATTAACTATTCAGCTCCAAGAGGAATCTGGTTTTACCTTCTCTGAGTCCTCCAATCAGATTGTCATAGACTGCAATTATATCTCTCCTCAGCCTTTCCTTTTTGAGGCCAAACATATCCTGTTCTCCTACGTCGTGTGCTCCAGCCCCTTTACCAGTCTGGTGGCCTCCAATGGAATCACACCAGTATGTCACTGTCTTCCTTCCTTGTACTGGTGAGCCCCAAACTGGACACAGTACTTCAAATGCAGTCTTACAAGTGGAAAATAGAGAGAAAAAAGCACCTCTGCTAGTTATGCTTTTCATAACACAGCCCAGGATGTGCCCACCTAGGATATGCAAGGAACTGTTTAACTCCAACTTTGTAAAAAGTCTGTTTGGAAATGTAATGCTGTAAATTTTGTAAAACCTCTCTGTGACAGTTCCCTGTTTGTTTCTGATATTCTAAAACACCCATGTCTGTAAGATAACAATCCAGAGATACAGTAAAATGTTTCAACCTCTCTAAAAAACAATATGATAAATGGGGGACGTGTTTGTCACATTAACAGAAAAATTAAGAGAAGCTGCCACGTTCCCCTGTGAAAAAAAAACAAACTAGTTAAGAGTTTTCTGCAAAACAATACCACTATTGTTAACAACTCAGGTTATTACAAAACTACGGCTACACTTTGAGTGTTGAAAATCCTTGACATAGAGGTGAACTTCGAACCTGGGCTTAGGACAAATCTGCCTGTTAAAAGCAGACAGCGCTCCCGTGTCCTCTGGCACCGGTGGTCACGAAAGGGAGGGAAGAGGCTGCCCAGCTCTGTGATCTGCCCGTGCTCGAGGCACACGGCACATTTTACAGTCCCTAGAAATGACAGGACGAGTGAGCTTTGGGATAGCGGGGAAAAGAACCGGAGACCGCTCCTTTCGGCTCACGGCCGGTTTATCCCAAGCCGTGGGGCTGCCCTGCACAGGGGCTTTGGCAGCACAGCGCGGCGCGTCCCGGGCCGGGCACGGCGAGCCGGGGCACGTCCGTGCGCCTGTAGCACGGGACGGGGGGGGGGTGGCCGGTCCGGCCTCACCTGCGAAGCGGATCTTGACGAGGTCGAGCGGGTGCAGCGCCAGGGTGGACAGGACGCCGCCACTCATTCCCGCCGCCAGGTTCTCCAGCCGCACGTGCCGCAGCAGGGACGGCGCGCGCGGCTCCAGCGCGGGCGGCTCGCGCGCGGCGCACGCTGGACCCTGGGCGCCCATCGCCGGCGGCACGCGGGCAGGGGGCGGGGCGGGGCTCGCGGCCTCGCGCGAGAGCGGCCCTCGCGCCGTGTCCGGTCACGTGCGCGGGAGCTTCCCGGCGAAGGGGGCTCGGGATCTGGGAGCGGTGGCCGCGATGCGCGTGAAGGTGCTGAGCCGGAACCCCGACGACTACGTGCGCGAGACCAAGTTGGACCTGCAGCGCGGTGAGCGGGACGCCCGGAGCGGGGCTCGGGTCATGTCGGCCCGGCCGGAAGGGCTGAGGCGGCGGAGGAGGGAGGGAGGAGGGAGGGCAGGAAGGATGGCAGGCGCTCGTGCGCCCGCCGGCCGCGATCCGCGCAGCCCCTGGCGGGCCGTGGGCTGCCCCCCCTCCCTCCGTCCCTCCCGTCGTAAGGAGTTTTTCTCCGCGGTGCCGGTCCCGGGCGGTGATTTCCGTGCGGTGCCCATCCACGGAGAAGAACTTCCTTGGCCCTGGCCCGGGGCCGGGCGGTGGCCGAGAGTGGCATCTCGGGGTGTCGGAGAGCGGTCTGGGAACAGAGTCAGAGCCAGAGTGCGGAGTAGGGGTTTATCACCACTGTGGTACTCCGAGATTACGCTCAGTATTACCGAAATTACTTTTAACACTTTTTTGCACTTACTGCTGTTTCGATCGCGTTCTGCTTTTTGCATATCCTTTATTAAAACTGACAAAAATCGTTAGATTTTACACATAGAATCACAGAGTCGCAACAGGCCCTGCTGAAGAGTCCCTCCCCAGCTTACTTGTAGGCCCCCTTTGAGTACTGAAAGGCCACCATAAGGTCTCCCTAGAGCCTTCTCCAGACTGAACAGCCCCAGCTGTCACAGACTTTTCTCATAGGAGAGGTGCTTCATCCCTCTGATCATCTTTATGTCCCTCCTCTGGACCTGCTCCAACATGAATTTTTAATGTGTGTGTTCCTCTTGTTGCAGTTCCAAGGAACTATGACCCTGCATTGCATCCATTTGAGGTTCCACGAGAATACACAAGAGCTCTGAATGCAACAAAGCTAGAACGTGTGTTTGCAAAACCCTTTCTCAGCTCACTTGATGGCCACAGAGATGGAGTTAATTGCATGGCCAAACATCCAAAAAGTTTGTCTACAGTGCTGTCTGGAGCTTGTGATGGAGAGGTAAGCTTACAAACCACAACAAACAAGGTACCTTTCTTCCTTATTTTCTATTTTCTTTCTCATTGCTGTTTTGTTTGGTTGGTTTTGTTCCACTTTACTCTTCTTTTATGTCTTTGTTCAACATAATTTACCTTCACTCAGGAGGTTCAAATTTCCCAGTCTGGAGCAGTGTTTCTCAAACTGCAGGTTGTAATCTTCCAGCACACCAAGGCAGAAGCTTTCAACTGTGCATCTGTGAGCAGAGAGCGTGCCATTCAGTTCCTCAGGATGGAACAGTGAATGTTAATTTATACATTCCATAGTGATTGCTTTTTGCTGCCCACTTGATCCTCCTCCTTCCCTTGAAGAAGTTAAACTGCTGCAGATTAAGGGATTGCATGAAGCCAGATGAGCTAGGGGGAAGGGGCACACAACCAAAAACTTTTTTGAATAATATTTTATCATATTGCCTAAGAAAGCTAACCTTATATTTGTTTGATTATTTTTCATAGCAAGAAAAAAAAACCCCAAGGACACTTTAGTTAGTGAAATCTAGAGTTGTAGAAAAAACTAACTTGTCTTCTCTGTCTTCTCTCACCCTTACATTGTTCATTTGGTGGTGCTTGTATAATTTGAAGGTATCTTCTGGGTCGCTGGTTTCTTCCTGCTTTTTATAGAAAGTGCATATGTGATGCACTAGTGTAAGAGAGATTTACCTTTTTAAAGAGAAGGGGAACCAATTTATATGAAACTTTAGCCAGATTTGTTATCTACTGATAGAGTGAATAAAGTACTGGGCGCTATAAATACATACAAATATTAAAACTGACCTCAATTTCTTTGTTTTTTTTTTTCATTAATTTGCCAAAATACTTTGAAACCGAAACCTCTTTGAGGTGGACATCTGTGTAGAATGTAGTACAGCAACTGGACTGAAAACATTCTGTTTGTTCCAAAGGTTATTTCCTTGTGCTTTTGTCTATAGAGTCTTTTTTTTCCCTAAATTTATAATTGCTGCTTTCTTTAGCAAGAATTCTAGTTCAAAAATAGGAGAATGCAAAATGCAGAAAGTATACAGCTTAGGTGGGGGAAAGGGGAAAGAAGGAGAGAGCCTCACTTTTTTTTTTCTCAAGAAGGGAATAATAAGTGGTTTTTTACATTATGAAGTTTGACCATTGTTCAAGCCAGCTGTGCCATTTCATTACCTTGTATTTGAATTGTGAACTGCAGTGGTGGGCTGTAGAAAGCTCACAGAATATTTACCTCTGTTTTCAACAGGTTAAAATTTGGAACTTGACCAGACGACAGTGCATTCGTACTATACAAGCCCATGAAGGCTTTGTTCGAGGCATGTGTGCCCGTTTCTGTGGTACATCATTCTTCACGGTAAGTACAGTGTGTCTCCTTAGTGCAGTGCAGCCGTACAGAGTGCCTGTTCACCATCTGTTTTCCACTGAGAAGCTTGCTCCCTGCCATACAATCTTTAAATATTGTATGAATACGCTTATTAAACTTGTCAGTAAACCTGAAAACTCTATTTATGATAAAATTGATTCTGATGCTGTGATACGGATGTTATTCAAGACAATTGAAAGGATAGAGACCAGAAAATAGCTAACAGATGGTCGTGTAATTAAAACTTGAATAAACTACTTCTCATTAAAGTAGTAAATAGATTATGTTCATTGAAAGACATAGAAAAGTGTAAAAAAGTAACCATTTACATATATTATGATTAAAGATAATCTGATTGAGTCAAGATCGTTCCATGTGAATTAAGCTTTATTAACTTAAATCAATCACAACAGGTTCAGTTGCGTGTAAATGATCTGGAAATAGTATGTCCTCCTGTTTATGTTAAAACAGTTCTAAGATGACACAATAAGAAGAACTGGTTTTAAAGTCTAGAATGCCCTGAGATTTTGTTTCTTTTGAACTGGGTATAGAAGAGCCATTTTCACTATAGTATATTTATCTTTTCTGAAGTATATGCCGGGTCACAAGGCCAGGAAGTTAGGATATAGGCGAAGTCATAGTAAAAAATTCTAAGTGGCACCAGATTAGAATCCCCTTTTGACAATCCCTCTGCCTGAAATTGAGGGAGAGAGAGAAGAAACAGTAGTACTGCAGTCAGGAAAGAAAGTTAAACTTGTAGACCTAACATTTTTTTGGTCTTTTTGCATGATCCAGGTCTGCACAGCCATGGAAAAGCTTGTGCTGGCATTAGTGCAAGAGGTAGAATGGCATTCGAAACAGGCAGCTGAGCAACTGAGGTGGAAAGTGCCTTTTAACTGTTTACATGCTCATCAAAGTGACTTCAAGAAAGTACTTTGCAGTTTAAGGTGCCAGTTGATTAAGAATCGTAAAATGTATCCTTTGGAAAATAGTCACCACTCCAACTCACCTTTTGCCTATTCAACCCTGGAAATATCTGTTTTGGAAAAACTTTGTGAATGAGGATAGACAGTTGAATAGGTGGTGGTGGGAAACAGTGACAAACTGGAAATCAGTCACCTGCTTTCACAAGCAGACAGATCCCCAGAAAATCTCTGAGCAGCAGCCACTGTGGAAGCCAGTCCCCACCTCCCCTTTCTGCTTCCACTGTCCCAGTTTTTATTGCTGAGCATGAAGTTCTGTGGTAAAGAATACTCCTTTGGCCAATTCAGGACATCTTTCACGCCTGTGTCCCCCCCAGTCTGTTGCCCACACTGAGGCTATTTGCTGGTTGGGGAGGCAGGGGTGATGACTGACACAGTGAGAGCAGAGGGAAATGCCTCTGTGCTGTGCAAATACTGTTCAGCAATAGCCAAGACTTTGGTGCTTTATCAGCACTGTTTTAGCCACACACCCAAACCACAGTGCCGGATGGGCTACTATGAAGAATGTTAACTCCACTCCAGCCAGACCATGTACATGTTTCTAGCAAAATCTTATGACCAGGAGGGCTAATCTGCAGCTCGGAGGTATAAAACAGAACAGTGACAGGCAGGAGAAAGCACCTGTGTATATCATACAACATTCTCTTTGAAAGGCTGCCTGTATTTAATTGCAAAGCACATCTAGCAAAATAAACAGAATATATTTACATAAAACTGTACATGCTTTCTCCAATATTTCCAGGTTGGTGATGACAAAACTGTGAAGCAGTGGAAAATGGAGAGCCCGGAATATGGAGAAGAAGAAGAACCTATTCATACAATTCTTGGAAAGGTAGTGAATCTGAGTTTTGGTTTTCCTACATCTCTTCTTTTGAATTAAGTTTGAACCAATTCTTATCTAGCTTTTGGAGGAGAGAGATATAGTTTGATATTACCTGTTATCTTAAGGGTTGTAAGGTGACGGCATCAAATTTTTTTATTACATTTATTTTACGTGTAACCAGAAAGGAATATCTCAAATGCCATCAGAGATGCTGAACTCTGTCTCTGCTAATCATCCCTCTCCTGCAAACTGGTCAGATCTTTATGTAGTCTCTTTCTCTTTAGAAGTGTATTGTCAGGGCTTAATCTGCGTTAAATTTCTTTTCATGGCAGTACCTTGCAGCCATTCAATACAAGATACTAACTTTATGTCTTTCTTTTTGACAGAAGCAGATGAAAAATATATACTTTGACACTTTCAATTTATGATCAGCTTATTTTAGAAAAAAAATAAATACTTTTTGTAAATAGATAGTTTGAAACTCTTTAGTTGTTGTAATGTCTATGGAATCCATTCAGGTTGCCACTGAAAATTCATAGTCATACCCTTAGCATTTCCATTTGCTTGAAAGTCAGCCAGGACTTTGTCAATGTGCTTTTAATGCTAACTCCATTGTAAATTAACAAGAAATGCATGCATGCACCTTAAATGAAAAAGAAAACTTGGCTACTGGTAGGGGCACATCTGATAAGACCTAGTTTCTTGTTTCATTGGTGGCTTGATTTTCAGTAATATAAATGAATGAAAACATGGGAGACTCCATTTGCAGTGCTTTGTTGATCTTTTTGGTAACAGAACATACTTGCATATTTATATGTACAATTGGTTTTGTAAATTTTTGCTTTTTTGTTTTTTTTCTTTAAAGACAGTGTATACAGGAATTGATCACCACTGGAAGGAACCTGTTTTTGCCACCTGTGGCCATCAAGTGGACATTTGGGATGAACAAAGGACGAGTCCCAAGTGTTCTTTGACTTGGGGTTTTGATAGTATTAGCAGTGTAAAATTTAATCCCATTGAGGTAATGTTTATGTTATATATTGGAAATCAGTATTTTTCTTGAGCAGTATAAGATCTAAACTCTATTTACATCATCTTGATTTTTTTTTTCCAAATTTAGATTTTGATATATGTTTTAACAGAATATTTGTGGGGGGTATACATAGATTTTTATGGCTATACTGATTTGGAATGTATGATTTTATATTTTTGTCTTTAATCTCTCTTAGTCGGGGAGAGGAGAAACAAAAGCAGGGCAGTCTCCATTCTGCCCACAGCAATACAGATCTGGTACCTCAGTTGTATAGTGTAGGAGTTATGTGGCTGTGGAGCTGTCACCTGTTCCAGTATTGTACTATCTGTGACTGAGACTTCTCACCCTCTCCTTGGCAAAACAATCGCATTTGATCTTTTACAGCACTTCTTGTTACATCTCTTGACTGGACTGTGTCCATAGCTTAAGTGTTTATGAGGAATTGCTTGTTAGTTTTAAAGTAGAGGGCACCGGGTGAATTCTGAATCTTACAGGGAAAGCTATTTAAAATGTTTGTGCTGGATAATCAGCTGTACAGAAAAAATGATGAATGTATTTCCTTGACTGAAAAAGAAACCATTTGACTACCAACTATGTGAAATAGCTTAGGTATTTAATTTTAGCTGTTAACTACACTCTAGAAGCATTCAAAGACCATACACACTGTTTTTTTATTTTTTTTTTTTTTAGACATACCTTTTGGGAAGCTGTGCTTCTGACAGAAATATTGTGCTATATGATATGAGAAAATCAACTCCATTAAAGAAGGTAATATTTTTCTTTTTAAGAATAATTAATGGCACTAATGATCATACTGTGTATGTTAATAGCCTGTAACTGTTGATGGCAACAGAGAAAGGGATGCTCTGAGTGGTGAGTTCATTGAGTTTTCATTGTCTGAGTCTTTTGAGTTTAAATTAGTTTTGGGATTGAAACAATACAGAGTTAGAAGGGCCCTTTTCTGCATTCAGACAGGCTGTCATGCTCACTCTTTTGTAATTCTTGATCAAGTGCCTGACCTGACAGCAATTTCACAATGAGAACTTTATGTTCCTGTATTGTATTCTGTCTGTGTATGTGTGATTTTTTTCAAATTTTTTTTTCTCCTCTTTGCCAGAAGGAAGTAAGGTATTTTCTATGGCATTTCCTTTCCACCACTGGAGAGCCTTGCTCTGCACTTGAAAAGGTGTTTTTCCTTTGCAGGGAGATAAACTCTCCCCTATGCACCTACCATAAATATTCAGAAATTCTTTGCAGTGTAATCAAAATTGTATTTGTATGTGGAACATACTGATGACATGAAGATTCCTGTTTAACAGACTATATGTACTTATTTTAAACAAGAAGCCAATAATTCATATACACATATTAAACCTCAATCAATTTCAGTATTTTTGAGCCTCAGAACTATTTTAACAGTATTCTTCTTGAAATATGTTATTCTGGCTTGTGAATATACAGTCAGCGTCCTTCTGTGCTGCGTACTTTCTGAAATGACATTGATACTAGAACACTGTAATGGTACTTAACTTAGTTATAAAATAGGAATGTTGTTGGCATAACAGTATTTCTTTGTCTCCCTGTGCCCCAGCAATTTTTAATAAAGTATCATTTGGGCCACTGAGACAGTGTTTATAAAAACTTGTGGGTGATGCCAGTTGGAGACCTGAATGTTGACATGAACGCAGCCAATGCTGTAAAACTGCAGTTACAAGGTCAGAGGATGCAGTTTGAGCCTTTGTGAACTAAGTTCTAATCTAACAGAATTTTACATATGTATATATGCTAAAGATATAAAACTCTACATACACATGCATAATTGCATATATATGTATGCGTATTTAATGTAAGCAGTGTCCTCAGGTGCATTTCCTACTATGGGAGTAAAACACTGATGAGTACTTCCCTGCATCCATGGATACAGTAATGGGTTTTCTCCTGGAATAGAGATGATTCTCCTGTGGAGTGGAAGTAAAATGTCCGTTTCTGCATTGAGAGCTAAGAGCTCTGTAACTCCTAAGAGAAGGGTGCTGCTTATTAGAGGTACCTTACTTATGTACAGGCACTGGTTTTTGGCACTGCTGTGTTCTTGGGGTTTGATCAGCAAAGCAGTTGGGACTCAGTGGGAGTCCCTTCATTAATGGAAATAGGAATACAACTTCTCACATCATGAAGCAGAGCTCTCTTGCCCATTTGTCCTGTCTATGGATTTCAAAGCCTTAAGTTTCAAAGAGGGAGGGATAAGATAGTGAGATACTGCCTAAGTGCAAAGTACAAACTAGTCTAAAAAAGCTGGGAAAAGATGAAGGAAAACAATTCTGTTGAAAAACAAGAGGAAGATGTTTTAGTAGGAGTTGGTACACTTTAAAAGTCATTCTTGTGCAACCTGTGGAATCAGGAAAGCTTAGGGTATTTTAAAGATGGACTTTCGCATTTAAACAACTGGCAGGAACTGTGCTTTCTCTTGCTTGCTGTATTCTTAGCTGTTCATTTCAACCAAATACCTTGTAGGTAGTAAAAGAAGACAGATTATTTTTTGGGGTGAGCAGGTTTTGTGTTAAAGTAATCTTAACATCTCCAAGCTAACACTCTTTGTAAGCAAGTGTTCATAGTTAAAATAAATAAACCAAGATAGCTAAATCTTAAGGGACTTCACAATTTTGACTTGTCTTAATAAGGACTTACACTTACTCATTTCATAAGAAGATCTGTGGTAGATTAAAAATAGTGTCAGAAGATGGGTCCACTACAGGTTTAGATAGTTCTGAAATGCCATTATTAATGTATTTACAGCAACTTAAATCACTTCCAACCCAGGTTGCCTTACATAATCCTAGAACTGTACAGAGAATCCGTTTCTTAGGCACTATTTTAATTCAAAAAGGCACTGCTGAAATGAACTGAACGCTTGTAAATGTCAGTGAAAAAATAGTGATGTGGAGCATGGGCTGTGACCAGACTTGACTCCTTTTGAAAGAGCTGGATTTTTCAGCAATAGTGAAGTTATTTTGTGACATGATGGAAAATACTTATTATACATCTAATGGGTTAACATTAATTGTGTGCTCATTTTGCAGCGGTTGATAAACTTGTACAGGGAGGAATAAAGAACACTCCTTGATTATTAACTTCCCATATATGTGCAAGGTTTGTAACTAGGAACAATATTGAAATTTTGAACAAATTCCAGTTGTCATATTACTGTACACATGGGGCGTTTCAGTGGCCACTTTTTAAACTAGACATCACTTTAGACATCTGATGATTACGTTCAGTTCTGAATGCACACGGTTTCTGAAAATGAGCAATGTTCTGCAGCACAGACTTTATAATGAACAGGGTAACGTCACCTAGGAAATGAGGACTTATGAAGAAGTGAGAATTACAAGAATATGCACGCACTCATAAGCTCACAGTCTTTTGGAGGGATGTTTGGTAGAGTCATTACTGTAAGGATTATAATTGTACAACTATATTCTGAAATATGTATGTAAATGTATGGTGTTTGGTGTAGTAAGCCAGGAACAAAAATGAGTTTGGAGTCCCGTAGCATCAAACACCCAAATTTCAGGATCTTTAAGAAGGATTATAGCTGGCCTGGAGCACTGTAGAAAATCCTGTTTAGAGTTGTTCAGTGTGTTAATAAGTTGCTCTGTAATTACACATCCACTTTGTGTCAAGCATACTGTATAGTTTTTATTTTTAAATATGATGGTTGGAAGTTTCTCTAACACTCGGCAGAAGCCAAAGCTGCTGTGTATGGTGTGTCCAATGACCTCCTCCCTGCCTTCCCTTCTCCTGCAGAGGCCCAGCTGTTACTGCCACAGCTATCCTCCAAGGTGGGGATGTCTGACATACAGCTTCTTAATGCCTCTTGTCTAGTCTGCAATTAGCAAAGCAGAAGGGTCTTATTAGTCTGTTATCAGCTGCCCTCTTCCCACTTCAGGGCCAACTGGCCTCTTTGTTAGCCATATGCTTGCTAGCAGCAAGCAAATCTTATAAATGTGGAGCCAATGACTCAATGCTGATACAGTGATAGTGGTGAGCAGATTTCAACACAGTAACTTCTGTATACACTGCTTGGCACTTCAACAAGAAATGGCAACTGTCCAGGAGAATTCATGAACTGCAATTTCAGAGATAAATTAAGGAAGGGATAGTAATAACTGGGAGAACATTAAAATGTTATAATTGCTTTGCAAATGCTGATTCACAGCTTCAATTAATGATTATATCCCTTGAAATAACCATTTAATTAGGCATGTCTATAGATTACTTAACCAAAGGTTCCTGTAAATATGATAGAGAAGTGAAATTTTTCAGAAGTTCCAGGTTTACTTGTAGACCACTAGTGCATTGCCATGTTCAGTGACCTCTTAGAAGAATTCTAAGGTGATTTACGAGGAAAATTTAATGTCTATGTAGCCCAAAGCAGTGGGCATATGATGAGGGACAGGAGGTTCTTGAGTTTGGATTTTAACACTGCTGAGGCAACATTCTGTCATGTCACTGTTTCTCTGGCATGGTTGCGTGTTTAGGAAGTGCTTGTCTCCGGTGGTGTATAGGAAGTTTTGAACTACAGTGAATATTTTACTGCTGTAGCAAGGTAGCCATGTGTAAATATTTTTCAGGTTATCTTGAACATGAGGACAAATACACTGTGTTGGAACCCCATGGAAGCTTTCATTTTTACTGCAGCAAATGAAGATTACAAGTAAGTGTGACCTTGCTTTTCGATACTTCTGGACATGTTACATTTTTAATCTGTGTCTTGGTGATTTATGAGCATGCTAAAATGAATTTTTAAAAGACTACTCTAAATTTAAATCACTTAATAGCCTAGAGAATTACAGGCTTACTGATTGTATGAAATACGAATTGATAGTAGACTGCCTTTTTTTCTGCATTTCAGTACTTGAGGGATAAAAAACAGTGTAACTTAGAAAAATTGTAGTTGAACCAATGCAAGTGTAACTTGCAATGGGACCCAGAAAATAAGTACTATTTGTCCAGTCTGAGGCAATATATGTGTTTATTGTCTTGCTGGCTCTTGCAAAGCTTGATATATTGTACTGATCAGCTATTTTGATAAAAACATTTCTTAAAAAAATAAATTAATCTTCTGTGAAACAGTTCTGGAGACTGCAATACTTATCCTTTCAATGTCTCGAAGCAGTTTTTTACTTTTGAACAATACTATTCATGTGAACAACTAATCTGATATTGAAAAAGCTGTCTCTTCAAAACTAGGCCATTGCAAATGTGCTCCATATCCTCTTTTCCAGGAAGTCGGTGATCTAACAATAGATCACTGTTTTCTTCTAGAACATAGGAATTTTATCACTTAAGGCTGTTTTTCAAAGAAAATGGAGTCTGGCTCAGACCTTGAAAGTGGGTTTTATATTCAATGTACTGTTTCTCTTGTATTTGGGTTATGGTATGATAAAGCTACTAGGCTACCTAATCTCTTTGTAAGTTTGGAGTTTTGTTTATAAATTTGCTTTTTGGTTGGTTTTTTTGTTTGGTTGGTTTGGGGTTTTTTAATTTTTTTTTGTCCTCCCCTTCCTAAACTAAAAACAATAGCTATTACTGTCAGGGGCAACTGTCCTCTTGCAGCCTAAAGCAATTAATATGCAATGGCAAATGCATATATCAACATATATCAACACTTGCACTTGCAAGTGTTCACTGATTATGTGGAGCAGCAGTTTTGAATATGATGCTGCATACTTTCTCTTGAATTTAAAGGAAAAGGCAATAGTTGCCGGTATACTATTCAGTAAGATACATTTAATTTCAGTTGTGTTCACTTGAATAAAGGAGGGTGAGAAATCTGCTGAGTTAAAAATTGTTAATATAGTAGTTTCATTAAATGCATTGTCTGTAAAGCACATTTGCTTGTTGGCACTAGGCACATTAATGATCTACGCAGTGATTATGCCTTGCTGTGTATCACCGAGCTTGTTGGTTCAAAGTGAGTAGAGGTAGACCTTATCTGAGCTTTGAAGTCCTTAAGAGCAAAACCAGCTGTGGTCCAGCAGCTGGGTGTTTATTTTTAATGTAATGCTTTTCTACAGATAGTGTGCTCTGCTGAACTAGCATCTCCATGTCCGGGCTTTCCTTGCAATCCTACATTGTCTGGCCTAAGATAATTAAGCAGTAGGAGAGGGTGCCAACCAAATGGAACTTTATAGTAGACTGAATTACAAGGAGTTCACAATATGAGAATATTTAGAAACCTTTCAGAAATTCCCTCTGCAATATGGATCTATCCTTAAGTGTAGTTTATGTAAAATGTTCTATTTACTTAAGGAGTTTTTATGGTATTAAGCTGTTGATGTATTTATTTTAAAGCTTATATACTTTTGATATGCGCTATCTCGAATCACCTGTGATGGTGCATATGGATCATGTGTCTGCTGTTCTTGATGTGGATTATTCACCCACTGGGAAAGAATTTGTGTCTGCCAGCTTTGATAAGTCTATCCGCATTTTTCCTGTAGACAAAGGTCACAGCAGGTGAGTGGTTTTACACCTTTCTGTCTTGCTGTCATTCATTTCAGTGACTTCCCTCACAAGTCATCAAAACTATTAATTCATTCATTAACATCTTCATTGGAGCATTCACTTCCCGTGAATGTTGAAATCTGACTCTGTTGATAGCTTGAAACCGACAGGCCTTGTAGTTGATCTAATTCTGGAGTCTGTATCAAAAGTAGAACCACTCCACAGGTAGCAGTACTTACGCAGTATGGAATTAAAATTACAGTGGATTATTGTGCTTGGATGTAGTCATTTGTATTTTACCAAGGTGAATCCCATTTTATTTCCCTCTATGCATCTTGAATGTTTTTAGATCACTTTGTACTGTATCTTAAGTATAGTGTATACACTTAGGTTCGCAGTGTATTACAACAATGTAGCATTTGGTTTTCTAGGGATTGTCTTCATCCTATATGGATGATTACTAAAGACGTTATGCAAATGTATTGCTATATGAATTCCTGAGAATTAATTTGGGATGCTTTTGTGGTCTGTTTCAGTGCACTTACTACCTTTTATTCACATTTTGTTAACCAGGTGTTGATTCATATGACAGTGCTTTGAATAGAATTCATTTTGATTTAGTTTTCATGTAAGATTTCATAACGCGGTATATTAAGTATTTTGCTGAAGTTCAGATTGAATCTACTGTGTCTCCATTATTTTTTATTTTTCTTTCAGTGTGATGAAAACCGAAGCAAGTTATCTGATCTGTGTGGTATCAAATGGTCTTCATAAACCTCCCTTCATTATTCTCTCTTGTCAATTCTTCCTCCTTTTTCTTTTTTCTTAACTTTATTTTACTTCTACTTATCTACCTCTCTCCAACCTCAGCGCCCCAAAAGGTTTTTACTAGGTCAGGTTCTGGGTAGTTTGAGGGTGGAAACATTGAAATATTGGTGAAGGAGTATATTTTTATTATTGATTGATGAAATTATGTATGCAGTGAAACTGTGCTCCTATGCTGCATTAAAGAGAGGGGCTGTTTACATTCCCTCTATATCTAATCTACAGATAGTTTTCATCTTCTTTTTGTCTTGCAATAATATTTTAAATGTAAATAGGTAGTGCAGTTCCTTTGTAGGTTTGGTTTTTTTCAAATTCTTGCATTATTAAACAATATGGTTAGCAGCTCCTTTATATGGATTAATAATGTTCACAAAAGTAGTGATATGCAAAGCTAAAGCACATCACTGAGGGGAAGTTTGCAGACCCTAGAGTGCAACAGTAAAAGGCTTTATTCCACATTATAGCAGATTGTTGCCAAGGAAGGCATTTTACTCTTCATCCCCACTTTTTTTCCCCTTTTGTGTGGTGGCCATAAATCTATTGAGGAGAAGCCTTACAAATTAAGAACTTTGCCTTGTATTGGCTGGCTAGAGTGTTCTGGGACACACAGAATTCTTTAGAAGATAGACTTTTTCGGAATTGCACACTTGATATTAATCTCATGGAATGGAGAAAAGTCTCTAAATAGATGTGATCCTACTTGGAAAACTGAGAGGGCAGTTAAGAGTATCTGTAAATAAGGATCCTGACGGTATTCCTGTTATGACTTCCGATCTTCTGCCAATATGAAAAACTCCTAACTTCAATTGCTTTCTATTTTATTTTTAAATGAAAATTTAAATAATTAAATTCTTTAGCCCTAAGAAATAAGATTTATTATCAAGTTGATTAAATTTAATAAATGCTTGGTAAACAGAACTGTATTTCTGTGTGAACTTTTAAATGACAGATCCAGGTTATTTGGCCATGTTTTGTGTTTTCCCTGTCCCTGAAAATGATATTTAATAGCTTCTGATGACAGCAACAGGAGAGGCAAAGGCTGCAAATTCAGAGTAAGGAAGGGAAAAGTACTTAGTTCTCCAAATGGTGAAGAAAAGCTTTGTTATTGAGTCACATAGAATGAAAGTAAACATAGAAATGCTTGTGAAAGTGCAGATGTGCACACACACCATTAAACTCAACATCAGTGAAAAGCTGATGTATTGATGTTTTCTGAAGGTACTTGTGCTCAGTCTTCAGCATGGTTGTTCTTGTAGAGCATTGCTTGCTAGTGAATTACAAGAGGTGATTAAGCTTATTAAAGCTTATTAAGCTGATATATTGATTACTTTTGTTTTTCTCACAACCTCTCCAGTTAAATTCCAGTCTAGTTTTCCCACAGCTCTTGAATAGGTGTTGTTTTCATGTTTCCTTTACAGTATTGCTTGGTTTTTCCTTATAAAAATAACTGAGTAGAAGAAAAAGAACAGTCTATAAGCTGTAGTGCATGTCTGATACACTGAAGAAGTGGCTATTGGTGGTCAATAAGTAGGCCTTATTTTTCTTCACTTTCAGAATGCTAAAAAATAGCTAAAATTACCAGAAAAGTGTACCTAGTCCTTTATTTTCATAGCAGAAATGAAAGAATAAATTTATTTGATACATACTTAATGAAAATCAGATAAGAGTTTAATTTAATATTGGTTTAACTCTAACATGCAGAAACATTTTTCAACAGGCATCAGCACTTGTTGAACAGGAGTCTGTTTGGAAGAAATTAGAAAAGAAAGGAAGTCCATCTTCAGGCAAAGGAGGGAAATCACAATGAGGAGTAGCAAATCCATTGCCATATATCATAAATGGATAGGGGTTTATTTGCTGTTCTTTTTCTTATTCGTAATGGTGGTGTCAGATTCTTGGGCACCTATTTTTCTGCATTCCCATTCTGTAATACTCCCAATGCACATTAATCAAAATTATTTCAGGAACAGTATGGATATCATATTGTATACCTATGGCATGTTTTGCAAAAAGAGTTATTTTTTAACTATTTACTGTAGTTTCTATGAAAGCATTTATTTAAAAAACATCCGAGATGGTCCTTTATCAGTCTAACTGTTACACTTTACTGGAATCTCTATGTATAGAGAGATGAGATCAGCACAGTGTTAAAAAAAGTCAGATTTTTTTTTAAAAACAGCAGCAACAAAAAGTAAAAAATAAATTTGCCTTGCACAGAATGCTTTCTACTATTTGAAAGCTAGTGTTGGTGGGAAGAGAGACAATAGCTCATTTTAAAATGTTTCTCTTTGCTTTAGGGAGGTATATCATACCAAACGAATGCAGCACGTCATCACTGTAAAATGGACTTCAGATAACAAATATATTCTGTGCGGCTCAGATGAGATGAATATTCGCCTGTGGAAAGCCAATGCTTCTGAAAAACTGGGAGTGGTAAGAGTTGCATTTTGCTTTTTGTTATCACAAGGTGTTTGGGGTTTTTTGTTGTTCTTACGGCTGGTTAACCTGTTCGGCCTTAAAAATCTTATTTCTAAAGGGAGACGGTAAAATTGTAGTTTGACGTTTGTGTTTAATTTGCAGACTGACGTGCAGTACAGCTCATTGCATTTACTGCGGTTTGTAATAATAATAATAAAATTACATACCTCATTATTGTTACACAAGGTAACTTTTTTTGGTCTTGTTTAATGATAATCATCAGTTCGATCTAAACTAGAGTTGAGTTTTTAACCTGTGTGCTAAAGGTTAGAATTCATCCCTTTGCACTAGAGAATAGGCAATAAATTCTGCTTTGCCATACTTAAGTAATTCTGTTGAAGTTTTGGGTTACTACATTAAAAATTTTTGACTGGTATGTGATTGGTTCATATTTGTTCATGAAGTTGGTTTGTTCAAATAAAAAGAAAGATAAAAATTTAAAAAAATCATACCGTGATAAGCCTGTGCATTGTAAAATAAACCATTGGCACTGATGCATAGGTGAGGTTGTCATTAGCCTGTGTAACTCTCAGATACCAACTGGGCAAACTGGTGTGGTGTCTGAAGTCCACTGGATTCAATGTAAGTCTGTTTGGTTAAGTGTCCCTAGTAGGAACAGACACCAGTCTAATTAAATAAGTCTTTTCAGTTACACTTGTTCAAATGTTTATGTATAGACAAAGCCAAAATATTCCTTTATGTTCCCAACTGTATGTATTCATCTGCACAGTTGAAGTATTGAGTGACTGTGGAGAATGAATTTGACACTTTGTGAGTGATCCCTTTATGTAGCTTCATATTGTTACAGTGTTTTGGAGGTGCTTACATTGCTTTTTCTGAGCCTATTGGCGCAGCTGTCAGATAATGCCTGTGGGAATTTCTACTTGATCTTGTGAAAGATTGCAGGGAGAAGAAAGGGAAGCTGTAATTCAGGAAAGAATGTTCTGCAGATAAGGGGACATCTATTGCATAGTTATGTCTAGGACTGCTTGTGATTACCTGAAGCTCCATCAGCTTATAGTAGCTGTAGGAGGGAAGTGGAGCAGAGCTGAGAGAGGTGGCAGGTGAATGGGAGTAGTAGAAGTACTTAGAGCTACTCTGCGGAATGGGACAATTCATGGATTGTTGTGCATTGTGAGGCACTGAATATGGAGTAGCAGAGGTAAAATAACATATATATCTTTAGCCATGGCCCACCATAGGTATTGGGAAGTCCTGTTATTCTCATTTTTGCTATAGAGCTGTAGGTAAAAAACCCACAGCTTTGTGGTCTGGGAAGTAATTGTGGTTACAAACTATTTAAGTTTGTAAATATGAATTTTTTTAAACATAGTAACTTCTTTTTTTGAGGATGCTTTTTTTTCCTGTTTTGCGTTGATTCTTGGGATTTTCCCATGTGGTCAAACACAAATATCAGTCCCATACTTGGTAATTCCAGGGGCTCCACAAAGCTCATTAGAGACTTTACTTTTTGATTTAACTTTTTATGTTGAATTTGTTTAGACAGTGTGGTATTGGGCAGAAATTATTACCTGTTTTCCTTCTGTTGTATCCATATGCTCATGGCAACAACCTTTTCACCTGATTTTACAATATTAACTGAAACTTTCTCTGTTTATTCGCTATATTCTTAGTGAGAGATCATGATCTCTCTAAGATGTTGTTCTGTAACAGAATTGTCTGGTAATATTGATGTGCATCTTTACTCTCTGCCCTCTGTGTGACAGTCAAGTGGGTAAGAAAAATGTCAAAAATAACATTTTCATATAGAAAGGTTCCTGATATTTTCAGATGTGAACAAAAAATTCACTGTATTGACTACTAGATGGTATTGGCTCATTTTCTTATGAAAGACTAAGGATAATTGGCTCTGGGAAGTAACGGGCAAACCCACCTCCTTCTGCATTATAGAAATACTGTGTACCAGAAGGACAACTTAACTATTGTTTAAGTATTCAGAATGTAGACTGGTAAACGACATTCTGCTGTTTTCTGCAGTATTTGCATCAATGAAAACTGGCCATGGATGTGCCTAAAAAAGGCACTACCTATTGTGACTGTTGGCTGTTGGATGTGATCTGCACATTAATACTTGTGTTCCTTGGCCTGACAGTGAATCCTACATAAAATAGCCTTTTTTGTTTTTCTATAAGTTCAGTTTTGTTGCTTCATATGCCTCTTGGAAGCTGTTCCTTCAATTTGGTTCTGCTCTTGTGGGATCGGACCAAACAAGCTTTTGTAACATTCTGTGTGTAAGGGTGTGTAAGCATTTCTGTCAAAGCGCTTTGGCTATTGGCTCCCAAGAGAGCTAAATCAATATCTGTCTGTGACACAGGTCAAGTGACATGTGGTTTATTATTTGATTTTTTTTTTCCCTCCTGTTTTTTGAGTTGATTTTTTTGGGATTCTTTTTTTGTGGGTTTGTTTGGGTTTTTTTTACTGTCAGAAGTGAAAGTCATCCTATCCTTTAGAATACAAAACTTGTCAACGTATCTTAGAAAAAAAAACCCACAACAACAAAAGACATCTTAAGAAAGCAAAATTATATAGAAATACAGGAAGAACTTAAAAGGGACAATAGTGTATTATGTAGAAAAACTGCTCTCACTTCTCATGGAGAACATCAATGAACTTGTAAAGAATTACATTATAATGAGAAGAGGTAATGTTTCAGATCCCTGAATCTTGTGTGGAAGTGTGTTCAAGTATGAGGTTGCTGAAGCCTTGAATTTAGCAAGACATGGAATTTGAATGTCTGAAGCTCCTATAGTTGTTAAAATTTTTTTTTTAGAAGCACTAAGAAATTTTATTTTTCAGATATTTAGAGTAGTGGTTGCTAATAGGATTCAAGAGTAGAATCCTCATGGCTTATCATGGTCTTCGATATACCTTGGAAGTGTTTGAGTTCAGGCAACTGTGCCGTTCCTTGTTTGATCCAACCTGGTAGTTCCTGTGATTCTTAACATTGCAACTGTTAATGTTATTTAGCAGGTTCCACTACTTCTCTTCAGTACCTACTTCTTTTTTTTAAATAGGATTGGTGTTCTTATCTTCACAGGCATGTGCTTGCTCCTTTTATAAGTGTCCAGTTCTTCCACAGTCTGTGGCTATTTTTTGAATGTTTTGAATATTCAGAGCTGAGCATTCAGTAATTCTGTCAGAAGTGTCAGAATATGTCTTAAATGCTTAGTTGCTTGGTCTGCTATTTTTCTTTGCTGAGAAGACTTGATTGAATGACTCATCCAAAGGTCACTGTATTTCTGATATAATGCTAAAATCTTGCAATACATTGTATTTTAAGATGGATATTTTTGGGCTCAGGATGAGTGGAAACCAACATCCTGAAAGAGAAAGAAAAATAGTAATCAAACCTTTTCTTTTCTTTGATGACTACTTAGCCTTAGTTGTTTTTTAGCATTGCTGGGTTCCGAGGAAGTTATAGTGAACATACAGTACTCATGTTGTGGCTGGTGAACATTTATCCAGTTGGAAAGTTGTACTTTCTGAACTGTGGCTACCCAAGCACTCATCAGTTCTGACATGTGTGTTTCTTTTGGGTTTTAATTTATTTGGCACTGCACTCATTATTCAAAATCATTGAAACATGAAAGAAAGAATAAAAGTCTCTTGAGGAGCCAGAGGCATCTTGTGTCTCTACTCCACTGACAATTGAACCTGCATGGGTTTTGCATAGGGGTAACAAACCCCAAATCTCTGTTGGAGATACTGCAGAAGTTGCTTTAAAATAATTTGCAATATTTAGTTTTTAATAAAAATTGATTAATTGACAAATATGTATTATTAAATAGGACTTAACAGGTGTTATTTTTAAAGCAGTAAACATCTATCTCTGTCTGTGCAGAAGCAAAAGACTCGATTAAACAAGACTTTTGAGAGATTGCAGACTGTTCAAATACTGTACATAAAATATGGCTTGTTAAGTATGTTTGAGGCTTTTTTACCTGTGCTCTTGAAAAGGTTTGGGATTTCTGAAAGGTAAATGATTTTGACTTTTGATGAAAAGAGGAAAATAGAGCCTCAACTGAGTGAAAAGGCTGGAAAAGCAGCAGTAATAGAGTAGATTTCAGTTAATAGTGTACAATTAATGTAATTAATACAAAGGAAGTGATAAATTAGAAAAAAGGATAGATTAGAAAAGATATATTAGGGTTTTTTTAATTATAGTGAAAACAATGAACCATCAGTAAAACTTTTAAAAGCTGTATTGCTCTTCAGTCTACTGACACACTAAAAAAGAAATTATACCCGCAGTTCTTAGCGTATAAATGCTTAGTAACATTACTTCAGAGAGTTACAGCTGCAAAATTTGGCTGTGTTACAATTCTGCATTAGAACAGTGTTGCAGGGTTCAAATTGTGAACAATTTCCATTGCATTTCTGTAGGCCTTGCTTGACATGACTAGAAGCTGTAAGCTGTAATGTTTATTATAGACTGTGTGAAAATATGCAATGTTTATACTTGTTAGCTGTGTGTCTAATTATAAGGTTTGAGAACATAGTATGTTTAGAGCAAGAAAGCCTTGAGAAAGTATAGATAAGGGTGCACCTGCAGATTTCAGAAAGTTCCTAATTAGGAAGGCCTCTACAGTCCAACTATGACTTCAGATCGCGTGGACAGAACATCAGGTCCAATGAACTGGAGACATGAGGCGCGTGTACAGACTGGGCTATCCAATCACCTTGTTGTAAGCATGTGCCCCAAACAAACTAAACTGTATAAAAGTTGACTTAATTAAATAATAAATGGAACATATGGCTGACCACATTGGCCTGTATGCCTTATGTTTATACCCCTCCATCAATACCTGGCGCCCGAACAGGGACTCCTACTTCGTCGAGTTCTACGGGACGTAAGGCGAATGGAAGGAGGCGAGGGAAGCGGTCGTTAGAGGTGGTGCTGTCCCCGGCGCTACGAAAAAAGCCATGTGCATGGT